TAAAAAAATATAACAAAATGCTAACATCATTGGTTTCATTCAGAAAATTTAGCCGTTTTAACACTTAATTCGAATTTTCTCTAATTTCTTTGTCTATTGTTTCTTTATTCTGCTTTGTTCAGATTTAACATTTGCAAATATCCATACACTGCATATTTGTATTTTTCCCTCTACATCTTACTATTCTACAATTGAATAATGGTGCAGCTGTAAGTTTAATGTCAAAATGGCGATTCAAAATGGCGGATATTCCTTTTTTCAAATTATTTCTTAATGTCGTTTATATAGGAGAAAGGATTGGTGAATATTTTATTGAGCGATGTACAACTAGGTAAAATTCCAATAGAACACTAGTATGATCACTTTAAATCGGAAAATTTAGTCGTTCAAATTTAAAATGTGTTATTTAGCTCAAAATGGCAATTTGAATGACGTGTTATACACTCGATTTCGTAAAATACCCAATCTGCTTATTTCTGATTTGTTTTGCAGAAAATAAATAACAAGTTTTTCTTTATTCATGAAATAATGTTCAAATATGTGATGGAAGTTAATGGATATTTTCATTAATGACAGGATTTTTATAAAACGGATTTTTGTTTAATTACTTCTAGTATTAAGATAAATTTTTGACGACAATTCCAAAGACATTTCACCTATTATCCGTCTTACATGTATCATGCTTCTTCATATAAAAAGTTAATAATGTCATACAATAATTGCTGTTTTGAGGATAATATGAAAACTAAGCTACCCCAGAAGCAGTATTCACCGAGCATTAAGGCGAGTGAACATTGTAGTTTGAGGGTTGCTAAATCATATCAGTTGTTGGAAATTCTTTGATCTAATTTAAGTCCAGTGTAGAAAAAAAATATTTATGTCCATGTGGAAGATCTAGTGCAACATAACTTTGTATGATCTTTGAAATGATGAACCACGAGCAATTAGAGGGCTAGTAATTGTTACATCAAATAAATCTGAATATATTATAATATCCAAACATAAACATATTTATTAAAAATTATCAGTATAATATACGTAAACCATAATTTTTTTTATTGTCCAGCTCTGATTCTGTGTCCCTACATTTGCTTTTTGTTATTCTCAGTCAAATATTCAACTGCATTCTCAAATATTTAATGGTGTGAACGGTCCACCTCCACCAATTTTGTATTGAACAGTGTAGATAAATTTAAAAATTTTGAAATTTACAAAATCGGAAAGAAGAAAATGTTTGTGTTTAATCCTCCCTCGATTCTTGATACAACTTTACACTATCCTAACGAAGAAGTGTGGATCAGGTTGCCTTGTAAAGTTCTTGGAGTGTTCAAGAAAATTTTGTTGTCAGAAGTGAAGTCATGCAAGAATGGCTTATGCCTATTGTACGAAAGCTTGTAAGTGATAGGAATCTGCAGGCGCTCTTAAATTGCATAATTTTACAACTTTTCTTCTCACCAAAATATGCACTCAATGTGATTCTAGATGATGAAGTTTGAGAATTTCCTTGCTAATAGAATGACCTTTCTACCCAAAAAGAAAACAAATCTTTACGCGGTCACGAAATAAAGAGCTACAAGTCTTGAATATCAGAGATTTTTTTTTATAACAACCCCCCCCCCCCCCCCCCCGATTGAAAAGCGGGATGGTATAGAATAGTCGGTATGTCCGTCCGTCTTTAACGCTTTGGGGTACCCGTCTCTTATCCGCAACTCGTCTCATACCACTGAATAAAATTTGATGAACTTTCACAGAACCTTTATTACATATTGCCATTATCATGATTGTGCACCTCCTCTTTTACTTTTTGATCCAACACATATTTTGGGTTTTAAATAGCAAAACATGGACACTGTGTATTCATATGGGTGACGGGGGTATCATTTAGTGAGCTAATTGCTCACAGTACCTCTTCTTCATTTTGCATAAGGTTTTGGAAAACAGAATAGACTTTTAACATTTGAACATAAATGTGTTGTTCCTTGAGTGTTGGTTAATTGATTGTATATTGTTCAACGCCGAGTCGGCTATTTTTCAGCCATGTTTCGGCGGACTATAAGTTTAAATAATCGGTTTTTGGAGGATTTTGGTTTCTCTGGTGGCCCCCTGTAAGCTTACTCTTTTTCGAACTCCAGAGAAAATATATTTTACGTGCCAAGTGGGTTGTCATCCTTGACACAGGGCACCGTATTACCTGACTATTGAAAATACCAAAATTCCGAAGACAGAGTGAAACATATAAAATAAAGCTGGAATCGAAGATGTTAGGGGATAATTCTAAGTTCTTATAACTGCTAAAAAGCTAGAACAAAGTATTGGATGAAATCGGAAAAGAATTTTCTCAGTTATATTTGATGGTGTGCTGAGGCCAGATGTTGAGGTAGAAATGCGAGTTGATAAAGACTGGATTCAGGAGTGATTTTAGGTGGACGGGGGCTCAAAGGCTTTGGAACACGGTCAAATACGAGAGGGGAAATTTGGAAACACTTAAGTCGAGTTTTTTTAAACTATTTCCAAATACATATATATATACATGTATATATATAAACAAACTGTAATTTATTTTCAAAATTACGCAGATTGAGTATTTTACGAAATTCGAGTGAAAATGACGTCATTTTGAGTTTTGAGCTAATTAACACATTTAAGTTTTCCATTTCAAAGTGTTCATATTAGTGTTCTATTGGAATTTTACATTAGTTAATTGTAGTCGCTCAATAAGATATTCACAAATCATTTCTCCTTTGTAAAAGACATTAAGAAATAATTTGAAAAAAAAATAATATCCGCCATTTTGAATCGCCATTTTGACTTTAAACTTACAGCTGCACCATCATTCAATTGTAGAACTGTGAGATGTAGAGGGAAATATACAAATCTGCAGTGTATGGATATTTGCAAAATCCTGAACAAAGCAGAATATAGAACAATAGACAGAAAAATCAGAGAAAATTCGAATTAAGTGTAAAAATGCCTAAATTTCATGAGTTAAACTAACAATGTTAGCATTTTATTATATGTTTTTATAGTTTTATTACACTCAGTAAGATATTCACTCATTACTTCTCCATTTTTAACGACATTCAGAGAAAATTAGAAAAATTGGATGTCCGCCATTTTGAATCGCCATTTTGACCTCTTTAACGCCATTTTCATGAAAGCCAGCATATTTTTTCGGATTCAGCATACTCGAATTAGGTTAAAAAACTATGCTGGACAATATTAATTATTTGCCGTTAGAAGTATTTTTTATTTTCTATAAATCGGACCAGACTAAATCCTTTTGCGATATTATATTTATTTCCGTGTTTCGTGCAATACATGTACGTAATCTCAAACTGGTCCACATATATCAAAATCGAATTCATTCGTCCATGTATTCAACAAGCCAGTTAATCACATTGTCTGAAGCTTTTGGCAACAATTTAAAAAATATAGATCATATAGTAATAAATTATATAGATACTAGCTTCAACTGTTCTAGTAAAGGAACCGATCTGGAATAAAATTATGTGTTTTTTAATTAAAACTTTTGGACAAAGGATTTGGAAACAGATCAAATATGCTACTAAAATGAAAATCTACTATTATTATCAATATTCAGACCTACACAAAAGTTAGTGTCAATTAAAAACGTAAACACGTGGTAAAAAAAAAATCTGCGTTGACACTCTCTCCGTCGATCTGCAACGTCACGTCTTTATGACGTTATTTCCCTGTTTTAGTGAAAATGTCATAAGGACCCTTTTCTCATGGGCGCAATCATATATATATATATATATATATATATATATATATATATATATATATATATATATATATATATATATATATATATATATATCCTGTGAACTAGAAAGTTAAAAAGTTAGCGTGTTGTTGTTTTGATTCAGCAAGAGTTATCGTGCTTGCTGTAGGTTGTCTCAGAGAAAAAATAGTTCCTTTCATCGAGCTTGAAAATACACGTTAAAACCTCTGATAAAATTTGTTGTGTATTTTTATAATTATCACATGTTTAATCAAAATATCACATCAGTTTTGCTGTATTTAACCCACATTTTCCGTAGGACTTCTCAGGTTCTTCATTTACCTGTACACCTTGATTTAAACAGGCCTGCCATTTTGAATAAGCAGCGGAGTATACCGTATATAATTCTACTCTGTATGGTATTTGAAAATAGAAACCATGCAGTCCTATTCCTCTGTTTTAGGAGATGCATTTCTGAAAAGGTGAGAAAAAATACCAAAAAATAATATTAAATAATTATGAGCTAATTTCGGTCTTTAAATGCTGAACCATTGTTTAAAAAGGTTGACTCAGAGATCTGTAAAACAAAAAGTAGGTGTGTCTTTCCTCCTTAATACAAGTATTTTAATTTTTAAACATAAAGACTTGTATGAAAGAATGTCAAATAACATTTAGTCAAAAATTGCATTTCTTTAACTGAAAAATGAAGTCTTACACTTTTTCTACTTGATATATTTGTTATCATTCTTGATTTTATGTTTTCAGGGCGTCACAATGACACATTAAGGTAAATAACGCGCATTAAATCTAGTAATCAAAGTATTTATTGAGTTAATGTCGGTCATTTTTGTGGACAAGAATTTGAAAATGTCTTCTGATGATTTATCTGAATAGATTCTAAAGTGCAGTTTACTCTATCGGAACTAATCGTTACAAAGGCAGGGTGACTGAAAACCTGAGCTTTTCATCGTTGGATGATCCTGAATAATCCGTAAAAATGAAGATTGTTTTTGTCCTCCAGAAATTGCTCTCGCTTCCATTTTTTTAATAAAATATAACAAATCCAAAATCACATAGTACATGTAATTGATAATAGAATTGGTAATGCAAAAGCATTGCGTCTAATATTCTCAAACAGTCTATTTTTAACTTCGAAGACGCCAACTGCACTGTTTTGATATGTAAATGATAACACAGGATGTGATCATTAACCTCTGTCTTTAAATGTCTGTATGAATATATTACAGGCTGAGATATTCCTTTCATTCAACAAGTACAAAGGATGACAAACATCGTGATGATGAATAGGACAGTGATACTCTATGTTCTGCTTTTTTATTTTGCCTCTGAAGTAAGTTCATATTTACAACCTTAAATTATTCTTTGAGTTTTTATGTCACATGGATTTTTCAGGTGCTTTACTGCTGTCTTTTTTGGTCCATTCCGTATGGCGAACTACGTTCGATTATATTTATTCATTTTCATCTTTTCCTTCGCAGTGGATTGTCCATTATGAATACATTTTTATGTATAACGTAAAAAGACAAAATGAATATGTTTAAGACTTTTTTTTCTTTCCCGACTCTTGTAAAAATAACGTTAACCAACAAATTTCGTGAAATATCTAAATTTATGAGCAAATCGTTTGTACCGATATAAACTTTAGGAGTTTTATTGGTTTTGAAGCACAAATGTCCGAGGAAACTAGTCAGTATCCAGATTGAAGTGAAGTTTTTTTTACACATGTTTTTTTTTTATCCTTTGGAACCCTTCCTGCTCTGTCATGAATATCAAACAGAGTCGCCCTATTAGAGAAACACCGGCATCTTACGAACAAACGTAACCAAAAACGGGGATCAGCCATTGTAGTCTATTGTACTTAGAGTTGGATTATTGATTTCTGCAATTTTATTGGGATTTCGATAGAAAAAATCCCCACAAGATACCTCAAATCCACGTCTTGTCGTAGTCGCTACCGTGACGCTACAATACATTTCAATGGACATTTAAACGAGCAAAGGGGTTCAAGAAGGGAAATAAAAGGAAAATTTAAAAAATGTCATTCTGTGGCATGAAATAAAAAATAATAGTATGTGTGGATCTAGTAGGGGTCGAAGGGGTGGGGGATATTTTGCGAAGGGGGGTCGGGACAATAAGGAATTATGGTCTAAAATTAAATTGCAAAAACCCAAAAACTTTAAAGATATTCTTGTTAAAAATACTATATCCTGCGAAAAATAAAATTAATATGGCTTTAATACACAGGTATTTTAGCCATATCATAAATCCAGGGGTTGTCCGTTCGAAATTTGTCAGTTGATAAAGCTTCTTCTTACAAACATGTATATTAAAAATCTTCATATAATTCTCACGGTTGCTAGTGGACTGGACCCCCCCCCCCCCCCGACTCAAAGCTATTTTTTTATTTCACTGTAAAAGCTTAAAGGCTTCTCGAGATATTGCTCGAAACAAAAGTGTAACAGACGGACAAAATTATATGACGAACGAGCTGACTGAATATACAATGTAATATCCCCAACTTTCGGGAGGGGGTGGTGCGAAAAAATGGAATTTTAGTGAATTGTGTTTTTGACATAATTTTAAGGTATATGGGAGCAAGTTCCATATTAGCATGCCATCAAAGGACCTATGCCCCCCCCCCCCCCCCCGGCAACCCCTGGAATAGATATAAATCCGGGTCCAAAGATTTTTTTTGGCTGTCTTTCATTTATAACATTTACAATTTACAACATACAAAATTGATTCCTGCAGTTCAAAAGTCAGAGGTGATTTAAAAATAAGAAGTGAATTCTGTGTACTTTTTGGATTTTTCATTTGAAATACACGGTAAATATGAACTACGTTTACTTTATAAAAGAAGAGAATTACGAATATCTTGGGACCTGGTATGTTTATTATTGGTGGGGTGGGGAAGTTGTTTGATCTACAAGCACCTGTGATAAGTATATGAGTGCACATACTTTTGAAGGATGCCATGACAATTGACAACTATAAGTGTCAACTACATTTTCAAATTATTCACACTTTTAAAAGTCCGTATATATTATTGTCGGTATTCTGGAATCAATCTTTTTTTTACTCAAGCCCTAGAGGGGCTTGAGTTATCTAAAACGATGCTAGGTCATCGATTTACTCAGTTTAAAAACACGAAATTATATTATATTTGTAGATAAACATATTTCTAGAAACAAAAATGAAGCTTATGTTGAAAACGTCTGTATATTCAAAAATATTAAGTGTTAAAAGTCGGATTCTATTCTACAGCGTATGAACAATGAGTGAAGCGTCGCAGCTGCAACAGTTTCTATACAGAGATTTCGCGCTTTCATTTGCGTAGGAATCTCAGGTACTTTTTACAGTCGCCGACAAAGCATCCATGGACGAGTCCACTGGTTACTCTGAAAGGTGACGCAGGTTACCCCATTTCTAATTATCCTTCTCTTAACAAATTTTCGAAACGCTTATTCTCGCAGTGTTGGTCTGATTTCAATATAAGTAACTTGGCATAACTTCACAAGTAGACTACACTAAGATACATTATTATAGATCTGTCAAAGTTTTACAATGCGTGGCAAAAAAATGTATGGCTGTACCCCCAAACTGAAATTGCCTATAACGGGCCTGAAAATGATGTGCACTTTGAGTGACAGTAAAATAATAGCGCAAAATTAATGTTAATTTCTCCCTCATACGTTTTTTTTATTTTAAAAAAACGTACTTTCTTCAGCTTTGGTAACGGAACCTAAATAACTTCTTTTGGATTCGAACGGAATATGTACTGTACATGCCGCACAGTTAGATGTACCCGTATACCGGTAATTACGTGGCTTTTTGGAGCCCTGAGCCCCCCCCCCCCCCCTCCACTTTGAAAAACTTTTCTTCCGACTTGCAACAAGCTATTTAGATTGATGTTTATAAAATGTTTTTATGTACGTCATTAAGCAAAATTAAAAAAGCGTATAGTTTGAAGTACATGAAATGTCCACATAAAAAATATTTTATTGATTCAAGAAACGTCTACTATACTCTATAAAATATTCCTGAAAGTGAGTAACGTAAATTCGTCGTATAGTACGATAAATTATATTTATTCTAATTAACTTCATTATATGAATATTGTTTCATGTACATGTATATAATTCAATAGAAGATTGAACTCAATAGCCCACATTATACCATTTTAGGATATTAATGACTTTTCTTAGTTGATTTTCATTTTCTACAGCTTGAGTATCTCTGACTTTTTGTCAGTATATACTTGTTTGTTTTACAACAGGATGGTGAAAATATATTTTTCCTTACAAATGAAGCAAGTTATAATTTCGGTTATAGTTTTTGTATGTATATTCGATCTTCGGTCAAAATAACTCTGTGTGTGGTCAAAAGTATATTAAAGTGTATCTTCTAACTTTATATTTTGACGAATAATGCATGGTTAACAAACAGTGACTTAGCGGAGCATAACTTTAAAGCAAAGAAAAGAACTTTACTAAGAAAAAAGCGCCACCCTACATAAATGCATATCTTCAGCCTTTTTCATAATCCACACACACCCCTACTAATTTATTATACCCCCGCTTGAAAAGCGGGAGGGTATATAGTAATCGTTAATTCCGTCCGTCCGTCTGTCCGTCCGTCCTTCTGTACATATGTGTGTCCGTCCGTCTGTTACGCTTTGGGGTAGCCATCTCTTATCCTCAACTCCTCTTAAACCAGTGAGTGAAATTTAATGAAACTTTCACAGAATCTTTATTACATATTGCCATTGTGCACCTCTTATTTTATTTTTTGATCCGACAAATATTTTGGGTTTCCCAGCCACCGCAAAACATGGACTTTGCCATTATAATCATATGGGAGGCGGGGGTATCATTTAGTGAGCTCTTTGCTCACAGTACCTCTAGTTGTGATTTAAATTCAAGACACGTGGTTTAGGTTGACCCATTCAAAGGTTATAGGATGCAACCGGTTTTATAAATAAAATTGGCAGTAAACAAGAAATTGGTATAGTCTGTTTGAATACTGTCTGTTTCTTTATACCCCCCGCTTGAAAAGCGGGAGGGTATATAGTAATCGTTAATTCCGTCCGTCCGTCTGTCTGTCCGTCCGTCTGTACGTCCGTCCGTCCGTCTGTTACGCTTTTTCTCTTATCCGCAACTCCTCTCATACTACTGAGTGAAATTTAATGAAACTTTCACAGAATCTTTATTACATATTGCCATTGTGCACCTCCTATTTTACTTTTTAATTCGAGACGTATTTTAGGTTTCCCAGAGCAAAACATGGACATTGCCATTTTTTGCTTACCTATGACGTCACATAATAGAAGCTTCTGGATAACATTTGATAGGACGAGTTATTCCTCTTTACACATTACCGTAAAACAATATATAGCAACACATCGACATTATGGGAGGCGGGGGGTATCATTTAGTGAGCTCATTGCTCACAGTACCTCTAGTTTGAAAAGATGTCCTGTGAAAAATGTATTTCCAGACCTTTCTGAAAGACTTTTATAATTTTCAACAGAACATTGTGGCTAAAAGGGGATGGGTGGGTTAAAATAACAATATATCTTATCATAATTTACGTCGAAAATTAGAGCACACTTGCGACGGATACGCTGGTAAAAATGTGGGATATCTACACTGACAAACCTTTGTTTGCCTTATATGGCTATTGTTATAAATGCGCACAGAGGATCTTAACACGAGCAATTGACCAATCGTTGAATAGCAACGTTTACGCCAAATAAATGTTTATATATTACTTCGAACACGTGGTTCAGTTCAATCTATGCTCATGTCAAGACGTGCAAAATAAAAAAAAAAACTCTTATGAACAAAATAGAAAGATTAAAAAATATGAAAGATGTCACGGGCGTTTTTAATCTTTCGTTAATTAGACAAAAATATGTTTAATAAAATGTACCATGTGTCAAGTTCAGAACACCAGCGCTTCAACAAGGGTAAGGAAAACGAGCAGTTTCTCATGCATTTATCCATGCAATGGACGAAACAGTTCTTACATAACTATACTCGTGATCATGTGTTTTGGCCAGGGAATTCCCCTGGCAATTGTATTCACCGATAGTACAACAAAAGAATTGATAGAGACGCAAATCGCTTTCAATTGCAACATGACTTTGAGAATCATAGACTTCCACCGTTTATTCAACAAATGAATTGTTTGTCATTGTGTGCATGAAAAAAAGATGCGTTCATCTACGAAATGGATGAAACAAGTATATACTGACAAAAAGTCAGAGATACTCAAGCTGTAGAAAATGAAAATCAACTAAGAAAAGTCATTAATATCCTAAAATGGTAT